ATATATATATATATATACATGTTATTCATATTAAGTTACTACAACTTGTTCAACAACAGAAAATGCACAGTTAACGAAAATATAAAAATTTCCTTTTTAAAGCATCGACGGCCATAATTGGAATGTAAATGTATCAAATAGTTTGTTAAATTGTTAAAATATAAAAACATCATAAAATATCTTATATATCAACGTACATTAAACACATGTGCAATATATTATTTGTACGTAATATTGAACGATAGTACAAATTAATACAATCAAGATTAAAAATTAAATTTTAAACGTAAAGCCGAAATTCGTATTTCGTGCACGAGCTCGCTCGTCTTTCAATCTCTCGAGGTCTATGCCCGGTGTATCGTTCTAATTGGACGTGCGCCAAAAACCCGATCGAAGTGATACCGAAGCTTCGGGTTCGGACGGCGTATGCGCCAGTAGTAAATCTCGTGTTTATGTCGGACATGCGGAATCGAGTCAGTGCGCGGTATTCCGTCTAACCAGCGACGGTACGCAACCTCTTTCGGCCGTCGAAACGAAACGTCGGGTGGCGAGATACTCGTCGGTCGATATCGCGAGAAACGATCTCGATAGTCTCGATTCAATAGTCGCGAGTCACATTTCTCCGTCGTGAATCTCCGTGTTTACGCCGCGCGGAGAAATACAGAGTACAAATATCGAGTTGGACGGACGAGACAACGCGACCGGAAATACGCCGTCGAGTCGAAGTACGTTCGCGCGACGAAAGCGACGACAGAGAAAAAGAGAGAGAGAGAGAGAGAGAGAGAGAGACTATAACGGAGCAGAAAGTAAATTGTACCGTGAAGCGTGATCCTGAAAAAGTTAGCCGCGTGGCCGAGCATAATTCCAGGTGCTAAATTTAAATGTGCTGCCCCGATCCCCTTGGGTTATTTCGCCTAGGTTGGCTGCGCTCGAACGGCTCGCTAGCGAACCCTGTTCTCCGTCGTCAGCCCTGCCGGCAGTGGTATCGGTGTTGAGTGTATCGTCGTCGCCAGGTATACATACGTGCGCGGTGGTCGCCATTGCCGGCGGTAGCGGCACTCGTGCGAAACACACACACACACAGCACACGCACGTACATCATATACGTACACACAGAGAGACGGTGGCTTGCGCGATCGCGATCGCGAGCTTACCACCACTACGCGAGTCAGTCGACGGTCTGCCGGCGAGCAGTGCGGACGTGTCGCGGAAAGGATTCGAAGTTGTTGTCGCCCGCAGATATTTGCTGGCACGACCGCGATTTTGCCCCACCGTCTCGGTGCCCACGGTAACGCACGGCTCCCGCGGACAGAACCACCTCCCCTCTGCCCGGCCCGACGACCCTCCCTCCCTCGCGACGGTTACCCGGTGTTCTACCAGCGCCGCGGCGGTTCCCCTCTATTGATCGAATTTGACCTGCGAAGTTTCCCCTAGCGTGTGCGGTAGTGGCGGCCGGCAGTGGCTCTCGCGCTTACGTTCCTCGGTTAGTGCGGTAAATAATCGCGATACCTCGGCATGGCTACTTCGACCGCTTGCACGCGGTTTAGTGACAACTACGATCTCAAGGAGGAGCTGGGCAAGTAAGTACGAAAAACCAAAGAAAAAAAAAACAATAATAAAATAAAATAGAACGCTCCGTCATTCGAGCGACATTCGAGCGATGTATGTAACGAACGACGTAGGGCGAAAACGAAAGAAAGAAAGAGATAGAGAGAGAGAGATTGGTTTAACGTTACCGCGTGTCACGGACGTGTTTGCTCCGTTTTCTCTATCTTCAGAATGTATACACACTTTGTCTCTCTTTCTCTCTCTCTCTCTCTCTCTCATTCTGCTCGTGTATATTTCTATTTCTTGCCGTGATGTTTTTATTACACGTGAACTTGAACGTGATGTTGCGAGAATATTCGTGCGTCGTCGTTGTGTGTTGTGTGTCTCGTGTCGCCAATTAGGTTGGTGTCCGTTGATGATACCGTTTCACGATGTCGTGTTAGACGGGCAGGCGAGTGACGATTCGCGAGGAGCGCGATTCTCCTAGCAGACGACGCCGCGCCGCGCCGTGTCGTGTCGTCGGCCATGATTATTCTCTACGTATGCAGGGCCTCTTTCTCCTCTAGGTTTTTCTTCCTGCTTGCACCGTTGCTCGTTAACGTTCATCCGCTCTCTTTCTATCCGTTCTCTTTCTCGGCCGCGGATCTCGTCTCGCCTCGTTCCGTAATACGCGCCCGTGTGTCCCTTGCTCGCACGCGGGAGACACCCCGTTACATTTCGTCTATATTTAAGCAGCACGGCCTGTCTGCTCGTGGCTCAGCCTCTATATATAAAGCATCAGGGGCGCTTGGTATATCGTGGCTTGGTGCCGTCGTGGTGGTCTCACCTCGCCGAGAACGAGGCATCCGCATCGTACGCGGATCTGTCACCAAATCAATACGATGTCGTCGCGCCGCTTTTTACCTTCATCCCCCTCCTGCGACC